TTCATGCTCTGTCTCTCTCTGTCCCAAAAATAAGTGAAAAACGTTGAAAAAAAAAATTAAAAAAAAAAAAAATAGAAAACATTTTTTGAAAAGATCTCACAAAGGTTATCAGTCCAAATTATGAAAGAAAAAAAAAAAACCTGCAAAATCAACACGACCAAATGTCTCAGTGACTGCACAGCCTAATAGCTAATGGAGAGGCACCTCCTGAAACCCTCTCTCTGTATCCTCTCGTTGAACCCTCACTAGGACCTCGTGGGGTAGGTGGCTTTTTTTTTTTTTTTTTTAATCCCTACTTCATGTTTGCGCAGGGAAGCCAAGGCACAGAGCAGTTAGGAAACTGACCCAGAGTCACACAGCAGAGTTGGGAGTTTGAACCCAGGCGGTCTGTGCTTCTCCATCTAGTACTTACGGGCTTGGATAGAAGTGATGTTTGACTTAGGCGTGTTTTAATTCTGTGTGACCAAGGCAAGGGCCCTCAGGTCCTCAGGAGGAAGGAAGTGCCCGTTTCCCTGGTGACCTCCTCCGTCTGCTGCTCTGCATTTTCCTACAAGACCCTGGGTCTCATCGGTCCCTGTACATGTTGGGAGTCAGGGAGGCGGGAGGACCCATTCCAAATCTAGGACTTTCTGAGAGGACAGATGCTCTTCAGAGAGTTTTGGTGTACATGAGGCTGCCTTCACTTCTGGCCCGAGTGTGGTTCCCCAGGGCCCAGATTTATGGCGGAAAGAGGAGGTGTGAGGGTGAGAGGTGGGAAGAAAAGGGAGGACGTCGCTCAGAGGAAGTGACCTGTGTGTTCCGAGGACTCTCAGGCATGTTGGGGCTGGTCCATCAGCATTCCCATTTTCGAGATGAGCAAATCGAGGCCAGAGACTATTGACAGGCAGATGATGAGGGTGGGAGTGGGGCGTCTGGTCGTGGGCAGGCGTGGGCTGGCTTGTGGGGCCTCCAGCTCTGAGAGCCTCCCGTTTCTGCAGTGATGCTGGGGATCTGCCTCCCATTCGGTCACATCCCTACTCAGAGCCACCATTGTATCAAGGTTGAAAACCTTTTCTGAGCTTCGGAACCTTTCTGCCATCTCAGAAAAGAAAAGAAAAATGCTGATGTTGGCCCAGGACTGAACATCAGAGGCAACCTGCCAGTTGTTGGTTCCTGTTCGATGCCAGGGGTCCTCGCCCCTGCTTGGTGACCGAGGCAGGTTTTAGCAGAGCAGTGGGCGGTTCTAATGTGGCCCCAAACCGCTGTTGCCTGGGTGGGCGGACTGGCCAGGGTTGGGACTGGGCTGCCGTTATCCTTGTGAACCCAGGCTGCTTGGGTCCCAAGCCCAGCTCGACCCCTTCCGGGGTGTGTGATCCCAGACACGTCCCCATCGTACTTCTCGGAGCCTCAGAGTGTCCCGGGATGACCCGAGGCCACCTCGAGATGAGTCCGAAGGCGCTCAGGATGTGCGGGCCACCTCTGTGACATCCCTCTGTCTCTCTCGATCTCAGGCAGCCGCTGGTGGACGCCCTGCCCTCCTGTGGCACCGAGCCCTGTGTGGGCCTCATGAAGGACCTCATCATGTCCGGAGAGGTAGAGGTGGACGAGATAGAGGCGTGGCTCTGGTCGCTGGCCTTCATCCCACAGCCCACAGATGCCATGGTCCACACGCTGCTGGTGAGCCCCTGCTCCCCACCCGGCCCCCTGGCATCCCTCCCTGACTTAGCAACCGATTGGACACAGGGGGTAACCCGCTTTCGTCAGGGCTCTGAGCCAGCCCCTCGTGCTGCCAGTGGGGACAGAGCAGCGAGATCTGGGTTGGAGTCTCAGCAGTGTGCCTCCCAGCTGTGTGACTGTGGGCAAGTGGCTTAACCTCTCTGGGCCTGTTTTCTGATCCGGAAGATGGGGATGGAATAAGAACCTTCCTCCGGGGCTGGTGGTAAGAGATGGGGAGATGCATGTAAATGGATTCTCCCCGTGTCTGGCACAGAGTCTGAGCCCTTTAGGTGAGAGCTGTTCTTGTTATTGTTGAGTCTTGAAACTAGGAAGCCTGTGTGAAGCTAGGCCAAGGATTTCTGATCACCTGGAGGTCTTAGTTAATCCTGACGACGCCTCTGTGAAGTAGGTGCTTTGATTATGCCCATACTGCAAATGGGGAAACTGAGGCCCGAGGAGGCTGGGAAGCTTGCCTAAGGTGGCCCGTGTGCCCTTCCTTTCTCCGAGGGATGTGTCCTCACTTGCCTGCGGGCGCCGTCACTTGTTGTTCCTCACCCTGCTGTGCCAGGCGGGTAGTGGGCGAGGATTCAGGGGCCACCAGCAGGGAGCAGGGGTGAGAGCTGGTGACAGGCAGCCAGGGTCCCCGGGAGCGGCAGAGACCCCTGCCTCGCCAGTGGGGGAGGACGTCTCCAGCAGGATCTTTCAGTCCCTCATGCTGGTCAGGCTCTGGCTGACTCTCTGGGCAGAATATAGGGAGCACTCACCCCTGACCCCTGACCACGGACTCCAGGGTTGGCTGTGGGGCCGGTCCAGGCAGGCTATGTGGTTGGCTCTGCTCAGCAGACATAAATCAGGCCCTGATTCAGAGCCAGGCTCAGGCTAGCCCCCGCTGGGGGCATCCCCCACGGCTTGTGGCCCGACAGGTGACAGTCTGGCCACCAGGGGCACTAGCGCTGTCCAGGAGCCACCAGGGCTCAGTCAGTGCCTGCAGGGTCAGTGTCCTCGAGACCGTTTGTTCGGCACAAGTGAGGTGGTTTAAAGGGCAGGCTCCGGTTCTAGACCTCCAGCTCCGGATCGCAGCTCTGTCTCTTACCAGGATGACCTACAGCTGGGCGCTTGCCTTTTCTGTGCCTCAGTTTCCCCCTCTGTGCAGTGGGGTGATGCATAATGAGACTCTGTGGATCAAGGGGCTGTCGTGATGTGCACCAAGTGTCACGCGTGCGGCTGGTGTCGCTGCTGGGACCACTTGTTAGGGATACGGGGTGGGCGGGGTCCCTCGGCTGACAGAGCCCAGGGTCTCGTCCGCCTACTTGGCTTGTCCTCTACGCCAGAGCTGGCTCCTCTCTGGACTGGTTTGCTCGTTCTCTCGTCTAGGCCACAAGGACACAGTGTGCCGGGCGCTTGTGGGGCATGTGTCCGAGATGCAGACTTGCTTTTAGCAGCCTGGAAGGGGTGGAGAGAAGGAAGAGGGGAAGGGGGAGGGGGAAGAGAAAGAGGGGGAAGGGGGTAGGCAAGAGAGTTTAACAAAATTTTTTTTAATGTTTGTTTATTTTTGAGAGAGAAAGAAGCGAGAGAGAGCGAGTGAGAGGGTGAGGGGCAGAGAGAGACAGGGAGACACGGAATCTGAAACAGGCTCCAGGCTCTAAGCTGTCAGCACAGAGCTCGACGCAGGGCTCAAACTCACGCACCATGAGATCATGACCTGAACGGAGGTCAGATGCTTAACTGACTAAACCACCAGGCGCCCTGAGAGTATTTTAATATACTTTTTCTAGTGGAGTAATTTTCGGTGTGCAGAAGGGTTGCAAGGCTAGTACAGAGTTTCTGTGTATCCGGGCCTGGTTTCTCCCATTACTAATGTCTGACGTCACCAGGGCATATTTGTCACATCTAAGGAACTGACCTTAGTACGTTACTAAACTTCAGCTGTTCAAATCCCACCACCTTCCCCACGGTGTCCTCTGTCTGGCCCACCGTCCCAGGGGGCCGCATTGCAGTTAGGGGTGTGTTTTTAGTTACATGTCAAAGTACCCAATCAGGAGACTGTGCTACTCCTAAGTGTCCTGGGTGACATTTGTCCACCTGGGCAAGCAGCAAAAGATGGAGGACATTTCCTGCTCCCCTCCCCCACCCTGTGTCCTTCCTGGTCGGTGACGTCAAAGATCATGGGGATTCTGACCTTTCTGGCCGTCCCTCACTCTTGCCCGCTCTTGACATTGTCCCGTGAGCTCATGTGCACCTGGAGTCGGTCTTCTTTCTCCCATATTCTCTGTGAGACTTGTCCGTGCTGTGTGTGTGTGTGTGTGTGGACTCCGTTCCGTTGCTGGGCCCTATGCTGCCTCTTTGCCATTTCCTCTCTTAGTGGTGTCTCTTGATGAATGTAACTTAGAAGTTCTTGCTTTGGGAAATGCAGGCTGTCTGTCTTTTCCAGCTCGTGTTTCATCTCCCCAATGCATCTTCTATTGTTTTCTATCAGGTTACCTGTCTGGCCTCTGGGGGAGGCTTGATTTGGGGGCAAGACGAGTGGGTTTTCAAGTCCCGTTGGAAAAGGGAAATCAGCTGTATGAGGGTCATAGGCCTGGGGAATATTTTATCTTTTTTTTATATAATTTAAAAAAAAATTTTTTTTTTCAACGTTTATTTATTTTTGGGACAGAGAGAGACAGAGCATGAATGGGGGAGGGGCAGAGAGAGAGGGAGACACAGAATCGGAAACAGGCTCCAGGCTCTGAGCCATCAGCCCAGAGCCTGACGCGGGGCTCGAACTCCCGGACCGCGAGATCATGACTTGGCTGAAGTCGGATGCTTAACCGACTGCGCCACCCAGGCGCCCCTATATAATTTTTTAAAACTGTTTTTATTTATTTTGACACTGAGACAGAGCGTGAGCAGGGGAGGGGCAGAGAGAGAGAGGGAGACACAGGATCCGAGGCAGGCTCCAGGTTCCGAGCTGTCGGCACAGAGCCTGATGTGGGGCTCGAACTCACAGACCGGGAGATCATGGCCTGAGCCGAAGTCGGACGCTCAACCGACTGAGCCACCCAGGCGCCCCGGGAAAATTTAATCTTTAAAAATTAAAAAGGGGGGGCACCTGAGTGGCACATTCAGTTAAGCGTCCGATTTCAGCTCAATTCACGATCTCACAGTCCGTGAGTTCCAGCCCCTCATCAGGCTCTGGGCTGACAGCTCAGAGCCTGGAGCCTCTTTCAGATTCTGTGTCTCTGTCTCCCTCTGCCTCTCCCCTGCTCATGCCGTGTCTGTCTCAAAAATAAACAAACATAAAAAAATTAAAATTAAAAGAGAGAACCTTTTAAGCAGGCTTTTAATTGAAGTGTCACCAAAGCTTTTTTTAAGTTAGAGATTTTTGTATTAGGAGCCAGTGTTCTGATTCTCGTGAAGTCAGGGAGGGCTGGCCGTTCTGGGCAGACATCTCCTGCCCCCCGTCCCTCGGGCAGCCAGTGATCCCACAGGGTCCTTGCTGCTCTGGGAGCCCTGACCTCATGCTGGCCCCGCTGTCCTGCAGCTCCCAGCCGGCCAAGGGGCCCCAGCCCCTTGGCCTCCCCCACTGGCCCCCACCTCGCTTCTTGTTCCATCTTTGGTCCCTGGAGGGCCCAGTCTGCCCTTGCCTATCCCTGGCGGCCTTCCTGGGGCAAAGCCAGTAGAGAGCGAGACCTCTGACAGGGGGGAACCGTCCTCCACAAGCCTGGCTGTCTTCTCTCCACGGTTCATGTCCCCTGCTCTCCCTCCTCTGTATGGAGGAAACAGGGAAGATTGTTCTCAGTTGATAGATCTCGAATAACATTGAATGTGCTTTTCCAAGCCACACATCCCTTTCCTTTCACAAACAAAACACACATACGGAGACATACATACCAAAACACACACATATGTGAAAGTAGAGGTGCCTATACACAGATATGTCATGGGCACACACACAAAGATACAGGGACAAGTGCGGACATCCACCCATACCTGGGTGCACACACACACACACCAGGCTATACTGGGGCATGCACACACACACACATTAGGGCAGGCATGTATACACACAGGGCACCCACCCATGTTGGTACGTGTGCACACGCACGCACTGGGACACGTGCACCCCGACCCACATGTATACTGGGAAAAACATACACTCCCATAAGGGAACACAACACGCGTGTTTACACATACCACATACGAGAGCACACATGCAGACACCCGCACGACACCCTGCTGTGGACGCACAAACCTGGTGGACAGCAGGAGTCTAAGAGAAGAACAGAGTTGGTAAAGACATTGCATTTTCCCAGGCTGCCAGGCTGTCGCTGCTCTCGATGGGGTAATAGAAGCCACTGCCCGATGCCCATGCCCAGACCCGGTTTCCGCAAGTTGAGAATATGTATTTAAGGAGCAGTGAGCGTGGGGTAACGTCCTGCCCGGGAGCCAGACCCTTCAGGGTTACGTCTTGGCTCCACCTCTTTGTGGGCTGGGTGACCGTAGGCAAATTACTTAATCTCTCTGTGTCTCACGATTCAATCATGTGATCTGTGTGACATGTGAACAGCAGAACTGGGCACACAGGGCCTGCCATGTCAGTGTTTTTTATTAAAATCCATCTTCCTAAGGTCGCCTGGGTGGCTTAGTTAAGCGTCCAACTTCTGCTCGGGTTATGATCTTGCGGTTCATGAGTTCGAGTCCTGCCTCCGGCTCCGTGCTGACAGCTCCGAGCCTGCAGCCTGCTTTGGATTCTGGGTCTCCCTCTCCTTCTGCCCCTCCCCTGCTCACATCTGTCTCTTTCTCTCTCAAACATAAACATTAAAAAAATTTGTAAATAAAATCTATCTTTCTGGCTTTTCCCCCAAGAGGCCTAGAACCAGCGCTCCCCTATCCCCCACTCACCCCACCCCCCTTTGCTTTCCTCTGATTTGAAGGCTCCAGGGCCCTGGTGTAGGGGTGGCTGAGCGTCTGGGTGGGACCCTGTCGCACAGCTGGAACGGGCCGGGGTCTGACTCAGCCTGGGCTCAGTTGCTGTTGCTGCTGCTGCTGGGAGGCCCCTGGAGAGATGAGCCTGCTTGATGTGGGTGGGTAGGGCAGTGTAGCCCCCACGGCGGGGACTGGGGTCTCCTGACCCTCAGGGAGCGAGACCCAAGAGGCCCCAGCATGTGTTGGAGGGTGGGGCTGGCGGCAGGAAAGTCTCAATTTCCACGCCGTTGGGAAACTGGCGGAAAAACACAGATGTCATTTAAACATTCAGCTTGCAGGTAGAGAAGTTAGGTTAAAAGCCAAGGTCATAGAGACTGCACGCCTCATCCCGTTACGGCACAGGGCTGCCTCCCTTTCCTCGGGTTTATTTAGGCGAGGTGGGTGTGCGTGTGCGCATGTGCATGCGCATGCGCACGCGCTTGCTGGCGTGAGCGGGCGCGCGCATGCGCGCGCTCGCCACATGCCAGCCGCTCCCCGCTGATGTCTGCGCGTCTGGCCCCGCTGCGGTGAGCCGCCGAGAGCGCTGTGACAGGAGCATTTACACCGTGGAAATTGGCCAGCGCTACCCACGAGGGGCTGCGGTTTCTCCGGGTGGTTGCTAAGCATCAACCCGGACGCCCCCGCCCTCCCCCCCCCCCGCCCCGTGTTGTGCCCGCCTTCCTCCTCCAAACTGGTGACTGAGCCCGGGGTGTCCCAGCCTCGCACTGTTGACCTCTGGGGTGGACAGTTCCTCCTGGGTGCGAGAGGACCTTCAGCGGCATCCCCGGTCTCTGCCCCCGGGATGCTGGCGTGTCTGCTTCTCAGTTGTGACAGCTGAAACCGTCTTGAGACATCAGCGACAGTCCCCTGCCCTGCGTCCCCCTAACGGCCTTCTCCCTCCTTGCTGCACCTAAGCGTCACCTAGGTCCTTTGGCGGGTGCTCCGTGGACAGGCCCCACCACACGCCAGTTTATTCAGACTCCCGGGGTAGGGGACCCAGGTCGCTAGGAGTCTGTGTGCAGCCAGGGCGGGGGGCCCATCTGTACGCGGCCGGGCCTGTGAAGGGCCACTTAGCAGCCTTCTCGGCTGGGGTGGGGGCCGGTTTCTGTCCCCAGCCGCTCCTGCAGACCCCGGGGGCCAGCCCCAGCGCCTTTCTGGGCATCTCGGCCCTGGCGCACAACCTCTGTGCCTCTCTGGACGGGCCCTGCGGACGCCTGCCTGGTGTCGGCTCCCTCGTGAGGATCCTGGGAGAGGCCTTGGATGCCAACTGCACCCTCCAGGAGCCCTCGGACGCTGACCAGGTGAGGGAGACCGGCGTCCTGGGCACAGCCTGTGCCACGCAGGTGAGCCCTCAGCTGTGCGGGTGAGGTGAGCACCCCCACCAGGCCTCAAGGCCCCACCGACGTCTTGTTTCAGCTCCAGCTCGTGCTGAAGGCGATTGGCAACGCGGGCCTGGCGGCCGCCGCTCTCACCCCTGCTCTGAGCACTTGTGCGTCTGAGAGGAGCTGCCCCCCTGAAGTCCGGCTGGGGGCCATCCAGGCCTTCCGGAGAGTTCCCTGCTCTGCAGACGTGAGCTCCTGTGTGTCGTTCCCTGGGGTTGCGATTGGGTGGCGGTGGGTCTCGAACCACTGTTTGCGAACTCATTTCTTCATTTGTTCATCCGTCGCATATTTACTGGGTCCCTACTGTGCACCGGGCACCTGCGTGAATAGGCGTCCAGGTCTCTGTTGACACGGAGCCTGCATCTGGTGTGGGAGGCAAGGACTGATCAAAGAAACACACAAATAAGCAATATGATCACAAACCATACAGAAGCCGTCCTGTGCAGCAAACCCTCTAGTCCGGGGGTCGGCGAGCTCTGGTCCACAGGCCCCACGCTCCCTTGCTGCCTATTTTGCACGAAATACTTTGCTGGAATGCAGCCGTGCCTGTTCATTTGTGTGTTGTCTAGGACTGCTTTTTTTTTTTTGCTACAGCTGCAGAGTAGAGTCATTGCAAGAGACTGCATGGCCCGCAAAGCCAGAAAAATATACTGTCTGTCCCTTTGCAAAAAAGTTGGCTGACCCCTGTTCTAGAGGCTTCTCTCGCCCTCAAGCCAGAGTCTTGACAGACCTGGCAGGCCCTGTGTGCCCTGACCACTGACTTGCTTATGGCTTTGTTTATTTTCCTCACCCCTACGGCTCTCCAGCCACGCTGGGCTCCTGGTTTTCCTCACTCCGGGCGCGCTTCTGCCGCAGGCCCTTTGCATGGGCTGTTCTCCCTTCCCAGAATGCCTTTCCCCTGGATATCCTGAGGCTTCACTTCTCACTTCCTCTAAGTCTTTGTGTATAAATCACTTTGCAGGGGTCCTCCTTGGCTCTTGCACCTGAAATTACTTACACATTAAAAAAAATTTTTTTTTTTTTTAATGTTCCCTTTTGAGAGGGAGAGAGAGGCAGAGTGTGAGCTGGGGAGGGGAAGAGGGAGGTGGAGACACAGGATCCGAAGGCTGTCAGCACAGAGCACACGTGGGGCTTAAACTCACGAATCCAGAGATGATGACACAAGCTGAAGTCAGACGCTTAGCTGACTGAGCCACCCAGGCGCCCTTGAAATTGCTTCCCCGTTTAAGTTTTCCCTTTTTGGCATTTATCACCTAATACACATTTCACAGACGAACCACGTTTCTTGTCAGTCTTCCTGCACTAGAAAATCACCTTCAGGGGACAGGAGCTGGGTTTATCTTGCTTGTCACTGTCACCTGGCGCTTAACACAGTGCCGGGCACATAGTAGGTGCTCAGTAAATACTGCTGCAAGAGTGGACGGATGGAGGGCTGTGCTCTGAAGGAAACCGGCAGGTGCCGAGGGAGAAAGTCACAGGGTGAGGGAGGTTGCTTGCTTAGGAAAGGGGCCTGGGCAAGCCAAGCCCTTGAGAGAATACCTCCTTTGTGTCGCACGCTGTGCTGCTTCTATAAATAAAGTTTTATTAGAATGCAGCCACACCCATCTATCTACCTGCTGTTACCTGTGGAAAGTGGGGAGCCTTCGGGCTGGGGGATGACGCGGCTCAGCAGTGACCCTACCACCTCCCGTAAATGGGCCGCAGGTGACAGCATCAGGGAGGCCTCCTATGGCAGAGATATTATCAGAGCCGGGGTGGGGGTGGGGGGCAACAGGGCCACCTGCTGGAGCCAGAGCAGCTCGGGGGACATGGAGCCCCGGGGTGGAGAGGGGTGGGAGGTGGATGGACCCAGGGTGATGGCCTCCCCTCTGCCCGGGCCAGCGATCTGTGCTCTCCCGCCTGTACCAAAGCCCCGAGGAGGACGCTGAGATCCGCATCAATGCCTACCTGGCCCTGATGAGGTGTCCTGGCGAGGAGGTGTTCGCCCAGGTGCGGCGCACCCAGGCCGGCGAGCGGTCTACCCAGGGTGAGCAGTGGGAGCTGGGGGTGGGGGCGGGGCTGGCACGGGGCCTCCCGCTGGGCGCGAGGGTTTGGAAGCGGGTTCACCTCTGCGCATCAGGTGCTCTCCTAACCCCTTCCTGTTCTCCTTTCCTTGCCACACCCCCTGAACAAGTAGCCTCGTGTGCCCGCACGTCCCGTGTATGGCACCTAGACAGTCTTGGACAAGTTGCTTCTCTTTCTGGATCTCTGTTTCCTCATCTGTGAAAAGGGATGAAAGCCGCTGACTTCCCTTGTAGTACTGGCCAGCTCGTGACCTAGTGCCTGGAAGGGAGACCTGAGACAGAGGAGGAACAGTATCTCCAAATCTCCGATCCCTTCTAGGGTCAGAGAGTACCCTTTAAACAGGGGCCTCTGGGGCTCCTGGCCGGCTCGGTCAGTTAGGTTTCTGACTCTTGGTTTTTGCTCAGGGCGTGATCTCATGGTTCGTGGGTTCGAGCCCCACGTCGGGCTCTGTGCTGACAGTGTGGAGCCTGCTTGGGATTCTCTCTCTCACTCTCTCTGCCCCTCCACTTCTCCTGTTTCCTGTCTCTTTCTTGCTCTCAAAATAACTAAATAAACAGGGGCCTCTGGCCATAGTTCCTAAACCCAAAAGTGAAACTTCAAAGAAAAATAAGTTGAACTAATTTTCAAAAATCTTGTGCATGCTACACAGCGAGGTGAGCCCCTGGAGCCCCACAGCCCGGGTTCAAATCCCAGCTCAGCGGCTCCCTGCCTGTGTGCCTTTGGACGAGTTACTAAACCTTGCTGAGCCTCTGTTTCTACATCTGGGAGATGGGGATGATCGTACTTGCGCTACCTCCCTCATAGAGGGAGCATAAACCGAGTCAATACACAAAGGCATTTAGAACGGTTTATCTTTTAAAAATTTAAAGTTTCTTTATTTTGAGAGAGAGAGTGAATGCATGTACCTGTGCACGAGAGAGGGAGACACAGAATCCCAAGCAGGCTCCTCACTGTCAGCGTAGAGCCCAACATGGGGCTTGAACTCACGAACTGCCAGATACTGACCTGAGCCAAGACCAAGAGGCAGAATCTTAACCGACTGAGCCACCCAGGTGCCCCTTTCCACCCCCCCTCTTTTTTGAAGGGTGTACACATTTAAAAGTCTGTCATGCTGTTAGATTACCTTCTAAAGAAGTGACATCCCTCCGAAAGGAATACAAACGGTACTGCTAGAAGATGTAACTGTTCGTTGGTGGTATCGGGTGGGATGGGATGGGATGTGAGTGGGAGGTGGGGAGA